CCTAACATTCTGTGATTCTGTGAAAAGTCAGTAGAAACTGCTTCTGCCCTGCTCAGGTAAGAATGTTGCAGTTAATATTCATATTATTTTATGTAATTTTGGCTCTAGGCATCCAACCTCATTTCTGGGCAGTTTCTGCAGTGGCCTTTTTCCTTGATTGACTATGACAAACAGGAGGAGGAGGCTGTGCTAATTTAGGTGCAGAAGGGACAAAAACTAGTCTTATGATGTGGAGTAAGTAGATAGGGGATAAAGAGCTGAGAGGGAGATCTGGAAGCAGTCTCCACAAAGACTGTATACTGGGTAGAGAAACAAATGGCTACAGAAAGCCAGTGTCTGAGGATACTAAGATTAAACATAGAATTTAGCATGATACTTTACCTATCCTAACAGGGGTACTGGGCCTGGGAACTGGTGAGTGAATAAGAATTATGTGGGAATAGAAGACAAATTAATCTGGTAATTAGTTGTTATATAGAAAGAGACCTAGAATTAAGTGGGTCAAGAAGCTAAGGCAGGAGCACATAGAAATTCCAAGGGCAGAGGTTTAGGTAGGTAGCCTAAAGCTTAGAGGGAAGGAATGAGATAAACAAATAGAGTCTGGGATCTGAGGAATATTTTGAACTGGGGAGGAGAACAAAGGAGACAAGGATGCTGGCAGTGGTAGGAAAGCTTTATTGACCTCAAATCCCAGAAGAAGGAGTAACATCAGAATTGTTTTTTAATGGAAGGAAGGATGGAAAAGTATAAGACGAAGGAAATCAGAGGCTAACTCAAGAATGTCATGCAACTTGCAAGAGACATAAGTAACATGAAACCATTCTATAACTATTCATAGGGAGCAGACAATGAACGAAAGGGTTGATCTGAAGATTAACAGAATGAGAAAATTGTCAACTGATAGTGCTGAAAAAGTAATGTCTTGCATCTGTGAGTCCCCACCAAAAGAATGGCAGTCAGTGACTAGTTTCCACTAGTTATTACCACTAGTTATTAACACTTACAAAGAGATACAATGTCTGTATCAAATTGGGAAGGAACAGTTTAGAAAATACAAACACATTGGATTTTTAAAAATTGACTGGTCATTATGAGCTTTATTCTCTTGTACCTACAAGACTGTCAGGCAAAATTTCAGAGTGCTTTTTTTTTTCGAGAAATGAAGGAAGAGAAAGGTAGCAGTGGTGGACAAATGAAGTATTTAATTTTTAAAAAGGAAGGAAAAGAGAGCCAAGAAATTATGAGGTGAGTTTAACTACAGTTCACAGAAAAATACTTAGGTAAATAATCAGACTGTGTTTAAGTACCAGGAAGATAACAAGGAGACAAGCAGATGGAACACATGTTTATCAAGAAGATTGTGTCAAAGTAATCACAGTTTCTGACGAGAAAAGTTAACTTTCTCTTGAAAATGTAGGTACAGATAGACATGGAAATGACTTTGCTGTAGTATCTGACTGTCCATACCATTCAATCCATGGCAAACACAGGGTGAAAAACATTTATTTCTCAACAGGAGAAAGGGTTTTAAGCTTTACCTTGCATTTCTGATGGGCTGAGAACATAAATGTAGTTGGCTATTGTGGCTGATTAAATAATATTAGGGTTTTTTAAACACTAAACTCTCTGGATTCCCGTTAATATTTCTACAACTGATGAAATACAAAGGATTTGGGAAGGCACTTCTAAGATTTTGGAAGTGTCAGGCCAAAGTGGATGGTATCTTCATGCATGGGGAGTAGGGGCACAAAGGAAAAAGAAGGGTTTATTCCTATTCCAGCTGAAAAAATGGTGAATTTTTAGAACCATTGGGCTGATTACAGGAAATTATTTCTCCTTGCTTCTTGTGTGAAGAGAATGAATGTAGTTATTGATGCTTGCTGTCCTAAGATTATTGTTAATCTTAGTTGGAGGCATCATATATTACAAGGAAGTCTAACATGAGCTAGGTTTGGAAGCAACTCTTGTTGGCTGGTATCACTTCAGCAGCATCTGTGTGGTCACAGCCAATCTTTGTCAATATCCTGTGAAAACCTTGGATCAATGATCAAAGCAGGAAACTAATGCTGCACTGTAATAAAAACTTTGGTTGAACTATTCAAATTTTTATTTCAAGAGGTGATATGTTGCATAAAATTTAATTTCCTAGTTCTCCCCTATCCATTTATTTAAGCAATGCTAATTAAAAATCCTGTGGAAGTTTGCTAGTATCTCACTACCACTCTGGCATTCTTATTTGCTAATTAGTTCAGCACTGTTGTCTTTAAATGTTTATGTTAAATCTTCTGCACTGAAGAATGTGAAATGCGTTTCAATTCTGTGAGAGTACCACTTAATACTTTTAAAGTGCTAGACAGGCATGACCATTAACTCATTTAGGTACTTCTTAATTTACATTATTGTGCAAACAATGCTGGTAGTTTTGTTAATACTGTATAAAAAGCAATCATGGATAGCCTGGCAGTGTTTAACAGAAAAATAGTTCAGTTTGGCGCTTGGACTAAGTTCCAGAATACAATACAGAAGTTAAGTCTGTCTGTTCTTTTGTGTTGCTGTTTTTCTTTGATGAATGAGTAGATTTGCGCATCCTTGTTCAGAAGCAGTTGTTATTTGTGGTTTGGTAGCTAAGCTGTTGCGATAAATTTATCTATCATTATATTTACAACAGTATAGTTGTTACCCATGTTGCTCTTTGCATGTATTTTCTCTTTTCCAAGTGTAGTACTTTGCTGATTTTTTTTTTAATATCATATATACAGTTTTTCAAGATCATTTGAAATTCTCATGCTGTCCTCCATGCTATGTTGCCTTCTTAGTATTATCCGGAATTTTATTACTGCACCTTCTATGCCATGTCATTAATGAGATTATTGACTGGTATTAGGAGCAGGGCAGACCCCATTAGCATGTCCTCCCAGTTTGACAGTGACCTATTGATAACTGCTCTTGGAATATGGATTTCCACCTTCGGTCCTCCCACATTATTGTAACTTAATCTCATCTCCATTTCTCTGCTTTGCTTATAAGAATGTCATGGGAGACTGAGACAGTCTGAGAGGTCTTTCTCAAAAGTCAAGCAACATCTTACCTCTTTTTATTTCACCATCCACTATTGCAGTTACGTTTTGAAAAGAAAATTAGATTGGATTAATGTGATTGATTTTTTACCATTTTTAAACCAATTTATGGTCACTAGAATAATTATATACTGTTCTTCATGCTTCCTACTGCCTTGTGTGTGTTCCTTTTCCATGTGCTTATGGCTTGGGGTTTTTTTGGTGCATTTGATTAGTTTTGTTCAAAAGAAGATGCTAGAAGACTATAAACTTACAGAAAACATTAGTAAGGTCCAATTGTGCTGTTCCAGATAGTTCCATCATGGGTACTAATTGGTGAAAGTCAATCTTGTGATGTGACACACATCATTGACAGCTATTGTAAAGCTGGTGTGATAGTACTGAATATCTGAATTCATATCTCCTACAGGTGTGTTTGGCAAGTTATGATACCTTATCTTGTCCTAAAGTTCTCATAGTATAGAAGAGCTCAATTTCTAGGTACAGAAATTTTGTCAAGTTAACTATATTGTAAAACTCATTATCATCACATTGTTTTGGACATTTTTTCTTTAAATGAAGCTTCATGTTTAAAGTCTCTTTGATCTGTAACAGTATTAAACATTGTCTGCTATAATGTGTAGATTGTCTTGGGCTTCTAGGAAGTGTATAAAATATGTTATGAAGTGGGTATCTGTTGTATAAAACACTAGTGAGATTGGGAGACAGTGGGTTTGCCCAAGATTCTTCAGGAGTGCCATTGGAGAGGACAGCTTGGGAAGCAGGAGAATGCTAAAAAGACGTCATGATTTCATTATGAATAGGATACCAAGATTAAGAACTAAATTATAACTTAAGCGATAATCATGGATCTAAAGTGTTGTCTCAAACTGTAGACTGTAATAAACAAAGAACTCTGAAAGTAGCCCTGTGTCTTCTCGATTTTCATCCATTTTCTAGTTCTTTGCCTCTAAGTCATTTCTATGCTAATGACTAAAGTTGATCCTGGACAAAAATGTTTTTGATAGTCAGCCTATGGAAACTGACAGGGCCAACTTTGAACTAGACATAACCTGTGCTAAACCAAGGATTCTACCGGCCATAGGA